TGGCAGGTGCCTGTAATCCCAGCTACTTGGAGGCTGAGGCAGGAGAATCGCTTGAACCTGGGAGGCGAGGGTTGCAATGAGCTGAGATTGCACCACTGCACTCCAGCCTGGGTGACAGAGCGAGACTCCATCTCTAAATAAATAAATAAATAAATAAATAAATAAATAAATAAAATATGGAAATTGAGTTGAGTCCTAGAGAAAGCATGTGATTTATTTTTCATTTCCATGCAGTGGCTGTCTGGGCAGATCATCTCCATCCACTGTCACTGTTGTCAGGCTGCAATAAGCATGCTTGTGTACCAGTACCTTGGTTATCTGCATGGTCCTCACAACAATGAAACTGTCCTATTAACCTATGCTGTTAAACAATTAGACCTCATACTCAGCATCACCTATGGATTATTCTGGCCAAAATATTTAACTTGAATCTGTTCAACTCTTTAGATCTAAAGTCAAGTTTATAGGAAGTTGAAAGGCTAAAGGAACAATTTAGACAAAACCATGAGGGGAAAAACCATACAAATCAAGAAAATGGAGCATTTTATAAAATAACCAATCTTCTTTTTTTTTTTTTTTTTTTTTTTTTTTTTTTAGATAGGGTCTTACTCTGTCACCCTGCCTGGAGTGCAGTGGTGCAATCTCGGCTCACTGCAACCTCCACCCACCAGGTTCAAGTGAGTCTCATGCCTCAGCCTCCGGATTAGCTGGGACTACAGGCACACGTTACCATACCTGGCTAATTTTTGTATTTTTAGTAGAGACGGCGTTTCGCCATGTTGGACAGGCTAATCTTGAACTCCTGGCCTCAAGTGATCTGCCTGCCTCGGCCTCCCAAAGTGCTGGGATTATAGGCATGAGCTACTGCACTCGACCCAGGATAACCAATCTTACACGTTATTGTCTTTACCAATCAATATATAAAGTAATAAAAAAAAAGGGGGGGAGGGAGGACTGTACTAGATTAAAGGAAGCTTAAGAGACATGCAACTGAAAATAGCATAGTCCTTGATTAATTCCTGGGTTGAACAAACTCAATTTAAAAAATGTTTTTTGGTCAATTGGGAAAATATAAATGTGGACTAGGTGATATTAAGAAATTACTGGCCAGGCACAGTGGCTCATGCCTGTAAACCCAGCACTTTGGGAGGTTGAGGCAGGTGGATCACATGAGGTCAGGAGTTCGAGACCAGACCAGCCAACATGGTGAAATCCCGTCTCTACTAAAAATACAAAAATTAGCTGGGCGTGGTGGTGCATGCCTGTAATCACAGTTACTCGGGAGGCTGAGGCAGGAGAATCGCTTGAATCTGGGAGGTGGAGGTTGCAGTGAGCCAAGACCACGCCATTGTACACCAGCCTGGGCGACAGAGCAAGACTCCATCTCAAAAAAAAAAAAAAAAAAAAGGAAAGAAATTACTATTAATTTCGTCGTGCAAGATAAAGGTATTCTGGTTATGAGAAAAAGGCCTCTTTATTTTTTTCCTTTCACACCTAGTCCCACAGAATTGTCCTGTTTTAAAAAGATACATACCCAAATACTTATGAGTAAAATGTCGTAAATTTTCTTTAAACTTCAGCAAAAAATAAAATTAACAGATGAAATAAATATAGTAAAATATTAATTGTTAAATCTGGGTGATGGGTGTTTGAATGTTCATCTTAATATTTTTTGCTTTGTAAAATGCTTCATAACAAAAAGGTGGGGGGTAATGCTGCTAGAAGTCCTTTTAGGCAGGTCACAGAGGGCCAAGCTCTTTAAGAACTCCATGCTGCTTTGACCAACTGACGCATGCGTGCCTCTCCCAAAGGGCAGGTGTTGTTCATATGACTTTCCACTGTCTTTTAAGCAGTAGGTAGTGGCCTGGTGCTTCCCAACCAGTAAACATCAATGACAGATCTCAAATATATATTGTCTGAGAAAATCTGCATTCCTCAAAACAAGCTAAACCATCTCAGCTCCCATATCATCAATCAACCTATAGTTCAGAGTCAACCCTGAAAGGGCTCACAACCACTTGTATTCACCTCTTACTCATTACTATTCCCCAGGATTTTAAGTGACAGATTCCCAACCATTAAGCAGGAATATTTCCTAGGGAAATAAAAGCAGTGATATGAGTATGCTTAAATTCAAAAGCCTAGTGAGAATTTTATGATTATGAAACATTTAAATTCCCTCTCCATCTAGTGCTACCATAAATGAAAATAAAGACTTTTGGAGTAGTTTTCCTTCTAGGAGTCCCAGAAGCACTTTAGTTCCCAGTCACTCCTCTAGTGGACAGTAGCTATGTGACTTTGGACAAGTCTTGGATTCTGATTTCTTCATCAGCAAAGTGTAAGAGCCCAACTAGATAATCTCTAAACTAATCCCTTGTAATTTTAAACTTTCACGTGTCCACATGGCCTAGTGGAAGCAGACTGGATTAGTGATGTAGGCTTGTATCCTGGTTGTCCCAAGTCAACATCTCTGAATTTAATGTTCCTTATCTGCACCTATAGATAATGATATGGACCTTACCAGCTTTCAGTGAAAATTAAAAAGAGATGTCATGTGTAAAAATTTCAGGTACCCAGTGCCTCACTAAATGTTAGTAGACTCTGAATAATACTCAACTTATGCAACCCTACTTAGCTTTCCTGGTGATGAGCAGAGTTAACTTCAAAGTGCCATGACCAGTCCGGGTGCAGTGGCTCATGCATGTAATCCCAGCTGAAACAGGTGGATCACTTGAGGTCAGGAGTTCGAGACAAGATTGGCCAACCTGGTGAAACCCTGTCTCTACTTAAAAATACAAAAAAAAAAAAAAAAAAAATAGGCAGGCATGGTAGCAGGTGCCTGTAATCCCAGCTATTAGGGAGGCTGAGGCAGGAGAATGGCTTGAACCCAGGAGATGTCGGTTGCATTGAGCCAAGATCGTGCCACTGCACTCCAGCCTGGGTGAGAGTGAGATGCTGTCTCAGGAAAAAAAAAAAAAAAAAGCCATAGCCTGGTAACCTTAAACAGTACCAGAGCTTGCTCATTAGCTGCGGACCCATAAGTCAGCCATGGTGTCAAGCACACCAAGGTGAAAGGACACATTGAGTTTTCCACCATGTTCCCCTGGCTTTCCTGTGTCCTGAATGGAAGATGCCAAGAAGGGCTTTTGGTTAATTTCTGTTTGAGTCAATCCGCTTTCTGCTTGTTCTACTGCCATGTATTGTACCCTTAGCTCTAGCCAGCTGGCTGGAGCTTCCTTGTTACTGGACACAGGAAAAGTCAGACAGAGGGTCAGTTTAAATTTGTCAGTGCGCCTAGAAAACAACTTGACTGCGCATGCCCGGCTCTCAGTGGGGCAGGAGTGGCACCAAAGGCCACCCCAGGGAAATTCTGACAGCAGCAGGGATCACGACCATCATGGTGGGGGTCAAACCACCTGCTGCTTGCACACACCATTCCGGTAGCATATGCACCTGCAGTAATTTAATGCCCCACAGGCCCTCACCCCGCAGCTGGCAGCCGCCTGCCTCCAGCTTCAAGTCACACCCGACGCCCTCTCGGTAGAGGAGTTCGATTGCGCGCAGGTTCTCCCTCAGCTCCTCTGCCTGGCTGGGCTTCTTTACACATTCCCCGGCATTTCCAGCCCTCTCGCATGTCCGCTGGGCAGCAGCCTTCACCCGGGGCGCTCCCAGCGCCTCGGCTGCGGCCAGCACATCTCCCTGCGGGGCGGGGCCCAGCACCCCCTCATAGGCAAAGGTCAGCACGGCCTCCCAGCCCCCTGGGGACACCTCGAGGCTGAAGGGGGGCCGCGGACCTCCGCCGCCCAGCAGCCTGTCTCGGAAGAGGCTGCTGATGGCGGCCAGGATCACCCGATGCACCCCGTATACCCGCCCCGCGACTGACACCACTTCGTCCAGCAACAATCTCTGCTCCCGCAGCCGCTGGGCCTCAGCGAAAAACTGGCTCGGATGCTCCTCGCTGCGCAGCCACTCCGGCTCTGCCGCATCTTCATCTTCTTCCTCTTCCTCTTCTTCCTCTAGGGACAAGGCTGGAAAGGGAAGGTTCTCTGGGACCAGGGGCCTGGAGCCAGGCTCTTCCTGAGGAAAGGAAGGCAAACTGGGGTCCTCGTCGTCGGGGGAAGGAGGCCAGGAGGGGGTTCTCTGGGCGTGCACAGGGAGTCCAAGGCAGTCCTTCTGGACGGGATGAGAGCCACTCTCCAGCTCAGGGGGATGATGGGGGGTGTCCAAGACGCTCATGCCGAGGTTTGCTGGATAGCTGCGGGTGAGCAGAGGCAAGACAGCCTGGCGTCAGAGCTGGACCCAAAGAGGCCAGAGCAACCATGTCTCCAGCCAGTCGAAATGTCAGTCTCTCCCCTGCTCCAACACCCTCCTCCTACCCTAAGCCACATCCCAACACTGGAGTGTCTGGGATATACAGGAAAACTATAGGGTACACACGGTGCAGTGAAACATGCAAGAAGCCCTGTAAAGATCCAGTAACCGGGACCACACCCCTCCCCTATTGCCCCCATCCTTTTAGTCACCCTCAGGAGACACCAACATTCCGCTTGCCCTCTCACTTGAGTGCCTGCTGTGCTTGGGGCTGCGTGGCAGCGGGAACTTGCCCACATGGCATCCCACTCAGCCAGTGGCCCCATGGGGCTAATTATAGCCGGTCCTGGCTGGCTAGGCACTTGGCACCGGGTGTCCTAACTCTGACACCCAATCCCCTGGGCTCCCTCCCAGACTAACGTCCCCACCCTTCCACCTGTAGGTCATAGGGGGTGCTGATCTAGGCAAATTAGAAAACCAAGGAGAATGAGGGGATCCGGTGGAATGCGTCCAAGGCCAGAAGGGCTGTGCCACTAGAGTGGGCTGGAAGGGTCAGGCAAAGAGTCTGGACCAGGCTTTGGCTGTTGACTTTTCTGTGCATGATAAAGCTGGGACCCCGCCGGGCATGGTGGTTCTTGACTGTAATCCTAGCACTTTGGGAGGCCAAGGTGGGTGAGTCACTTGAACCCAGGAGTTTGAAACTAGCCTGGGTAACATGATGAAACCCCAGATTTTTAATCTCTACCAAAAAATACAAAACTTAGCTGGATGCAGTGTCTCATGACTGTAGTTGTAGCACTGTGGGAGGCCAAGGCAGATGGATCACTTGAGGCTAGCAGTTGGAGACCAATCTGGGCAACATGGTGAAACCTCATCTCTACAAAAAAATATAAAAATTAGCCAGGCATTGTGGGACACAACTTTAGTCCCAACTTCTTAGGAGGCTGAGGTGGGAGGATCACTTGAGCCCAGGAGGCAGAGGTTGCAGTGAGCCGAGGTCGCACCACTGCACTCCAACTTGGGTGACAGAGCAAAACTCTGTCTCAAAAAAGAAAAAAGCTGGGACGCAGGAGCGAACATAGCCCAGCTTTACCCACAGAGGGCAGAAGAGTGGGGAAAGTGAAGGGCCAGGGGGCAGGGCTACGGACCTAGCTGGCTCACCCCAGCACAGCGCTTCCTGTCTGTCCAGAGGTGGGGTCCAGGGTGAGAGCCTGAAATCCAATCCTGTGTCTTTGGAAAAGTCTGGGGAATTCTAACTCTTATCTTGGTGCTGGGATCAGAACCAGACAGTGGAAGGTGTGCTTGATCTGCATGCTGTGAGGACCAGAGTCCTGGACTAGATGGGCTATGGACATGCAGGTATTCCATTTGAGCCAGACGGTAACAGCCATTCCTTCTCCTTCCGAGACAACACTTCCTTTCTCATCCTGAGGCCAAGTGCTTAACTAAAGCCCCTAAAAGCCGTGCAATCACTTTGTGCCGCAGTTTTGAATGTCATCTTGCGGAAAGGATTTAGGGAAAGGTGCAGTGACACACTTCCTCTCCCTTCTCTTGGGGAGGCAGGACAGGCCAAGGGCTCCTACTTCCTGGCCTATAAAATGTCTGGTCCAGGCTGGATAGGTTGACTCCACAGGCAGACTTAATAATGGAAGGAGGCACAACTGTTCCTTGTGATTCAGATGAAAGGGCTCATGTGGAGGGCAGGGTAGGGTGGGAAAGTGGGCTGACCCGCACAGCACCCCCTCCTACTTTCAGAGCTGTCTCCATTTCCCCTTTTGTGGCCTGGGTACCTCGGCAACTCTGAGTAGCTAGCATTCCCTGGGTGAGCCTAGCCAGCAGGTGCACTCCCCAAAATGGTTCTACTGAGAGGCAGTTTATGGTTATCCTGGTCAGCAAATGGGGAGATAGTGTCCAGGCTCTGCACCCTCTTTCCCAGTTCAGACATTTCTAATGCCTCTCATGGTGTCCCCAGAGCAAAACAATGTGGCCAGCATCTTGACCCCCAACCAGGAGCTGGAGGAACTGCAATCTGGTGGAGACATATCCCAAGCCAGCCTCTGCTCACCACCTGCTTACAAGGACAAGGACACCGGACCCTGCTACGAGTTCTATCCCAACTCTGTAGTCCTGGGATGGCTCCATACAGCTTGGTAAGACCCAGGCCCCACAGTGAACTCCTGAAGGTAGGACAAAATCTGCATGTGGGCTACCACCACCCTTCATGTAGCTCTGGGACTGCCCTCCAGGTCCATCAGCTGTCCTCCTGGTTGCAGACACGCTGGCTAGCGAGGGGTCTTGGCATCTCAGTTATGTATGTGCTATCTCAGCCATGAAGTAGCGCCACGTCCACCTCAAGAGGAACCCCACACCCAGCCACACTGCCCAGATGATCTGGAGAATTCTGGAGCCAAAACCGGAAAGGCCCCAGTGCACTTCAGCTGGGTCACAGGAGCCATGGTAATGGATTGGCACTCATGGTTCCCTAAGTCTGGGGATCTAGGCAGGCAAGAACTTTTTGCTCCAGGGGAGTTTTTGGGAAGTACCTCTGAAGAACGGGGCAAGGGCTGGGGTTCACACTGGAGACTGTGACCCCTCCCTTACCACCCTGCTCCCTGGATTTACTGTATGCTCAACATCTGGGGCATCATTCTCTACCTGCAGCTGCCTTGGATCGCTGCTCAGGCCGGCACAGGTATGAGCTCAGAGCTCTCCTGGGCAGTAGGAAGGGATGTACATGTATGAACAAATTCCCATCCTCACCCCAAGGCTCACATGGCTCATCGTCCTTAGTCATACCGTCACTGGGTTGTCTTACCTCAGCCATCTCCAGTAACGGCAAAGTCAAGGCTGGTGAGTCTGTAGTGACTCCTGCTCCTCCCTTCATGTTTCCCCATCCCTCATATCTGTTAATGAATTGTATGGTGTTCTCCGATGACCACATTTGGTCATTTCCTCACTCCCCCAACCCCTACTATACAAACACTTTCATTTCCCCTTTTGGTACTGTTGGTACCTAGATAGCCCTACTGCTTTGGGATGGGGTTTTCTTCCCATGAAACAATGGGTATCGTCAATCTCATTTCCAGGCTCCTGTATGATTCAAGATGCTTCAGAAAATAGGACTGACATGGGTGTGCAGAATGGGAGCTGCCTGGGTGCAAAGTGCCAGTATAGCTGGGATTTCAGCAGTTGTTGAGAGCAAGGCTCCTGCCTCTATGGGCTCTCTAATCACTACGAGGTGGGTGAACCAGAGCAGAAATGTAGAGAGAGAAACCTTGTCCATTGCCTGGCATAGCATAGATGTTTATTAATTTGAATGGGGCAAAACCTTCAAAGATGCAGATCAATTTTAATAAGTCTGGGAAAACTAGGTGAAAATATGGGTAGAATGCATTACTTTGGAAATGCATTGATTTTTACCTCTGTCTGCCCTTTACCTCAGGCCATGAACGTGGTGTCTGCCTTTAGCCCTCTGACATCTGCTGGAATCTTGAGTGCCGCTCTGTTCTGTGTCCTTTCCTGCTTTGTTTCAGCCCCTAATATCTTCCAGGCTAGTTGAGATCTTAGCAAGAGGCTTGCAAGAGAAAGGAGAGAATGTCCGTAGACATGGTCATGCCACGTGTATAATTTTTGAGGAGGAGGGGCAAAAGAGGGCTCAGTTCTCAGCAACCAGGAGTTAGATGGTAACTTCGGGAGATGGAGATGACTGTAGCTGGCTAGCATTTAAAGAGATAATCCAAGCCCACGTAGCAAAATTCAAAGTCTGCCTGTAAATCAAGGGAAAATGTGGGGAAGGTGTCACTCTTTTTTTTTTTTTTTTTTTTTTTTTTTGAGACAGATTCTTACTCTGTCATGCAGGCTGGAGGGCAATGGCATGGTCTAGGCTCACTGCAACTTTCGCCTCCCAGGTTCAAGCAATTCTCCTGCCTCAGCTTCCCAAGGACAGACATGTGCCACCACACCCGGCTAATTTTTGTATTTTTAGTAGAGATGGGGTTTCACTATGTCAGCCAGGCTGGTCTCGAACTCCTGACCTCGTGATCTGCCCGCCTTAGCCTCCTAAAGTGCTAGGATTACAGGCCTGAGCTCCCGTGCCCAGCCCAGTGTCACCCTTTTATCTACCTCCCCACTCTCAGTTTTTCCCCTCCCTCATTCCCAGGGATCTTACACACCCTACTCCCCCTACTCCTATGCTTTCTGCCTCTGACCCCTAAACTCCCTTGACTTCTGTCTATGCTCCCCACTCTCCTGCCTCTTTACAGGAAGAGAGGGCTCTCATTCTCCCACTTCCTGGGACCCTCCCCTGTTGAACGCCACGACCTCTTGCAGCAGCTGTGCCAGGATAAACCACACCGAGTCACTGGCTTTTGGGAAAGGCCATGGCAAGAACCACGAGCCTCTGTGGGGCTATCTGCTCACCTTCCTCATTGCTGTAGGTTTCATCCTTATCGGTGAGTACTCCCCACCCCACCCTCCACACCAGGCTCTATTAATCACCATTCCTCTCATGCCCTTCCCAGCCCTACCTCTGGCTTCTAGGACCTGATCCTAAAACCTCTTTTCTATCTCTGTTTTCCTGAAAGTGGATGAAAATGTCTCCTAACCTTGCAGTAGTAGGGGTGGTATGTGGGGGGCGGCAGGGGGGGGGGAGGCGGGGCTGGAGTGAGGAGTAAGAAGGGAATAGAGAGAATGGAGAAAGTAATAAAACAATGTCCTGGACTTCTAGACCTGGATCTTATGTCATTAGTGTGGAGACTCACTCCTGACCTTTCATTTTCCCCAAAGCTGAGCTGAATATCATTGCCAGCTTCCTCCTCTGCTTCCTCATCAACTTTGGCTGTTTCTATGCCTCCTTTACCTGGTTGCCTGGTTAGCGTGGGCAGGTGTTGACGTAAGGTCCAGGTCTGGAAAGACCTGGGGAGTTGGGAGAGCATCCTTGGGGTACATGAGTGGGTGGTGGTCCCCTGCAGGCTGGTGCCCTTCCTTCTGCAGGTAAAGTCCCTGGGTCTCTCTCCTGGGCTCTCTGCTCTGCCTGCTCATCATGTTCCTCCTCACACGGCGGGCAACACTGATTACTGTGATGCTTACCCTTCTGCTGTTATATGACCTACAAAACCTGGTGAGTGAGTAGGCGGGTGGGTAGGGAGTCAGGAAGTGAGTTACAACAGGAGACTGACCCCCACAAGAAGCCCAGAACTACGAAGAGTAAAATCTGTTTCTTCTTCTACCTGACGATTGATGCGCCACCCCTAATCCTTCTGCACCACCCCTTCCTCTGCACAGTTGTGAACTGGGGCTCTTCAGCCCAGGCAGACACCTACCACATGGCACTGTCCTACTCAGTGAGCCTCACCAATGTGCAAGATCACATTAAGAACTTACAGTAAGGAAGTCTCTAGACGAGAGATTGAAAATGGTGGCCTATGGATGGAATCTTGCCCGGAAATGAGTTTTCTGATTGCACAGCATTTACAATTTTTAAAATAAACCGCCAACATTTAAGATCCAGGCATCTGCTAATCCTGGGTCTCCAACCCACATGACACAGTTAGCTGGGGCCGAGTAGCTCCTTTCCCATGGGATAAGTCTGGTGCTATCCAGTTTGCCACAGTTCCCACTTGGTCCACTCCATTCTTTAATACTACGACTGGTTCTTGCAGACTTTTGGCTTTTTTGGGAAAGGCCATGGCAAGAACCATGAACCTCTGCAGGGCTATCTGCTCAGACACAGAAGGAAACTAGCTTCCTGAAATCTGGGAGGGGTAGTGGAGAAAAAGGAAGTCTTCTTGTCACCCCTCACCCAACATACCATATCCCCTTCCTTCCTTTTTGCTTCTCCTTTCAGGTCTCGCGTTTGAACCAACTGAAGTCCAATGTGCTGGTCTTGGGATATAAGCAAAATTGGCAGAAAGGGCCTGTATCTACCATGGAGTACTACATAGGCATTCTACTGTGAATGTGAGATAGAGAAAAGTGAGATGGGCATAGAAATGGTCAGGAACTAGAAAGAAGAGGAAATATAATTGTAGTGAAAGCCTTGTTCCCAACAGCTGCCCAGCAGTGCCTGTGTCCCCAGGAAAGAGACCCCAACCCCTTCATCTCTTCCTCCTTTATCTCCTTTTCTCTCCTCTCCATAAAGTGATGCCTTTGACTACAACTATGGCATAGGCCTCATAAGGATGCCAGGAGGGTTAAGCCTGGCTACTCAACACCAAGCTCAAGGTGAGTGAAAACAAGTGGGCCTAAGAGAAGGATGTGGTGTGGGAGGTATAGAAATTGGCTCTCAAAGACAGTCTGGGAGGCAAATGAACTCATCTAGAGTTACCAAGACCTAAGACTGAATAGAATTGCGTACCAGGATGTGAGAGGAATGAATTTTACTTAAGGTTTAGTTCTCCTGAAATTTTTAGGGTGGGGGAAAGCTTTAAAGGTATCTTCTAAATTCAGGTGGGAGAAATTTGGATCAAAAGATACAACACAGCAGGGTGAGCTGGAGTGTGGTCAGGAAGGGCTATGGCCCAATTCTAGAGAAGGGTTTCTGGCACTACCCCAATTCTAATAATATTACACACCTTACCAGTTTACAATGGGCATACTTCACAAAAAGGTAACATTATGTTATACCCCCACTTTTCCCAGTAAACCCACCATATTTGGATGTCATAGGGATGGATACTTAGCAGGAAGGAGACCAATCCTAAAACATGTCCTGTTTTAGGAAAAACAGAGTTGTAGAGTGGGTTAGAGAAGCAGGCACCAAGGAAAATAAAAAGGGAATGTGGTTAGTCAATGTGGAGAGAAGCCACATGACATTTTTCTGGGATAGCAATAATTCTCTTAGGGAAGGAGAGGTATCATACTGAATTAGGAGCAATTGCTCAGCTGGATAAGGATAAGGAGTTTGTCTCATTCTTTTCTTCTCTTTTCTCAGACAGCATCCTTACTCCAGCAGCCTCAATGTTCCAGTCCAAGCAGGGCCGGAGGGCAGTGGACGTGTACTGGCTTGGTGATGATGAAGGTAAGGACTCCATGGCTCCCCAGGAAGTCCCAAGTTCTCCAAGTTCCAGGGAGAATAGGAAAGGGAAGATAGTGACATATAAACCAGAAAGGATTAGAAAGTGAACTCTGCATTTACCAAGGACCCAATATTCTCCTCCCACCTCAGAGGACAACTGTGATGTTTAAAGGCCAACAGAAAAGTCAGTGTTGCTGGAGCAGAGCAAACAGGGAATTGAGTAGCAGATGAAAGTGGTAAGCAGGGAAGGGCAGAGTGGATCATAGACAGTCTCACAGGCCTTTAAAAAGACTCTGGTTTTTCTTTTGAATTAAGAAAACACCGAGGGTTTTGAGCAGAAGAGTAACATGATCTGGCTTCCATGCTAACACTATTCACTCTGGCTGCTATGTGGAGAATTGACTCTTAAGTTGGCAATGATAAAAGGAGAAAGACCAGCTACTACAATAATCTTGAAGACACATAATTCTGGCTTGCTCTACAGTGGCAGCAGTGGAAGTCAGGAGAAATGGAATTCTGGATATATTTTGAAGGTAGAACCAAGAGGATTTGATTAATTGGAGAAGAAAGGAAACTGACACAGATACTTCGACATGAACAACTAGAAGAATGGAGTTGTTAACAGAAACAAGAAAGACTACAGGACTAAGCTGGGGAAAGAATAAGTGCAATTTTGAATATGTTAAATTTGAGATCCTTATTAAGCATCCAAGTGGAGGTGCCAATGGGCAGCTAGGTATTTAGGATAGAAGTCTAGGTTGGAACTATAACTGGGAGTAACCCCCATCAAAATGATTTTAATGTATACAACTAGATGAAGTCACTGCAGGTGTAGGTGTAAAGAGGGCAGTCTGAGGACTAAACTCTGTGGAGATGAGGAGAAACTAGCAAAGGAGATTAAGAAAGGGCAGTCAGTAAGCTAGGAGGCAGACCAAAGAATGCATCCTAAAGCCAAGTAAGGAAACTTTTCAAAGAGGGAGTGCCAAATGCTGCCGACAGCTTCTGAGGATGAAGAATACACCATTACATTTAGCTATGTGCAAGTCATTAGTGACTGTGATAAGAATAGTTTTGGTGGAGATTTAATAGGGAACTGGTGGAGAGAAATCGAAGACAAGTCTTTCTAAGTTTTGCTGTAATGTGGAACAGAAAAATGGGAAGCAGCTGGAAGGGCAAATGGGGCGAAGTGGGCATTATTTGTAAAATGAGGAAAACAGTGGCGTATTTGTGTGCTAATGGCAAGATTCAGGAGAGAAGAAAATACTGACTCTCCGGGAAAAGAGGGAGAATTATCCCTGTTTTTGAGAGTCTCGCTCTGTTACCCAGGCTGGCATGCAGTGGCACAATCTTGGCTCACTGCAACCTCCGCCTCCTGGGTTCAAGTGATCCTCGTACCCGAGTAGTTGGGATCACAGGCATGCGACACCATGCCAGCTGATTTTTTGTATTTTTAGTAGAGGGGTTTCACCATGCTGGTCAGGCTGGTCTTGAACTCCTGGCCTCAAGTAATCCACCTGCCTTGGCCTCCCAGTGCTGGGATTACAGGCGTGAGCCACTGCACCCAGCCCTGACTTCTAATCAGCAAAATATCCTCCTATCCACAGTGACAATCCAGTGTCCTCTGAGAAGCAAAATCAGCTCTGGTTGAGAACCACTGGTTTATGGTAACAGGAAGGCAGAGTACATGGGTACAGATACTAGAAGGTGGTTAGTTTCAGGGGCAGAAGCCTGTAAATGTATACCGATTGCTTCTATTTTCTTACTGAAATACGAACCAAGGTAAGAGTCAGAACAGGAGGAGATGTTAAGAGATTTGAGGGGTCAGAAGGTATGAAACAGTCACCAGAGAAGAGGGCAAGTGAAAGGACTAGAGAGATGGAATATTTCTGGGTGGCATAAAGGACCCCCATTTTAGTGTCATGGTCATAAGTTTAAAGTAAGATCAGTCAGCATGGCTATTTTTTACTAGCCCTTTCAGCTGCATGGGTCTAAAGTAGGCGATGAGTTGAATATGACAAAAGCAAAAAAAAGGAAGGGAAATGAGGCGGATTCTGTTGGATTTATCATATTAAAGAAAATGAACTGGAAAGACAGGAGGTGGTGGTAGTAGAGAGTGGGATGTCTGAAACTGAGATGTGGAGGATCTGCAGCTCTAGAACATGACCAAGGAAATAAGTGGCTATTAGTATGATCTACCTGAATATTGAAATCATCAAGATTTATGACAAGAGTGGTGTTCATGTGGTAGTTTGTTTCAAAGCAGAAGGGTACTAGAGATGAGGGACAATGGTCTGGAAACAGTATGAGGAAAAATGAGGACACGTGCACCACCCCCAGGCCCAGTGTACAATGGGTGTGGAAGGGAAAACATCACCTTAGGAGAAGCAGAGTCCTCATAAGAAACCAAGTCTGGAGAGCATAAATGTGAAGGAACATTCAGAGAAGAGGTTGAGGATACAGAGAATTTGACAAATGACTGGCCATCATTTCCAGAGGGTACAGTAGAAGAGCTTCTGGAGTTGGAAAAGTTAGGTAGATGGAGACAAAACAGAGTGGAGATACGTGGTTATTAAGTGTAAAATATGAGATGACTCAGTAGTTTAGGACTAATTGTGATGACTGATACCAACGTCAATAAGATAAAGGGTATGAGATTCGTTCTGTTGTTTGTGGTAGGGAGGGATGTCCATCTACGGGCATTCCTCAAGCCTGCCAATGGATATGCATGTAGGAGAAAGTATATGCAGTAGATGCAGTTTTACTCTAGAGTTACAAATTAGACCAATCTCCAGGCTGTTGATTTGTTTGTTTTTAAGAGACAAGGTTTTGTTCTGTCACCCAGGCTGGAGAGAAGTGACTCAATCATAGCTCACTGCGACCTCAAACTCCTGGGCTCAAGCTATCTTCCCACCTCAGCCTCCCTCGGAGCTGGGACTACAGATGTGCACCACCATGCCCAGATAATTTTTAAAAGTTTCAAATAGGTGGTGTCTTGCTATGTTGCCCAGGCTGGGCTCAAACTCCTGGACTCAAGGGATCCTCCTGACTTGGCCTCCCAAAGCACTGGGATAATAGGTGTGAGCCACTGCACCTAGCCTCCAGGCTATTTTGAGAGAAGTCTTGAGTACCTACTTCAAAGAATTTAAATGAGAGGATGAAAATAAAGCAGTTAGCACAGGATCTGATACTAAACTAATAGTTACGATAATACTATTGTTGCCAGGCACAGTGGCATGCTTACTCGGGAGGCTGAGGTGGTAAGACAGCTTGAGCCCAGTTTGAGACCAGCCTGGGCAACACAGCAAGACTCCGTTTCTTAAAAAAAAAAAAAAAAAAAAAAACCTCAGTCTTCGTTCCACAGCAGCAGCCTCCAACAAGAATTTATCCAGCACCAAATCTATATTGGTCCTGAACAACACAATCCAATCACCAACATACAAAACCAAAAAACCAAAAATATTTTATTGCTGAGTCATCTTGGGGTTCCATAAAGGACCCCAAGCCTTGCTTGGAGTCTACAGCTTTGCTAGGACTCCCGTGACATCAGGATAGAGATTGAGGCACAGGGTCCTTTGGGTTCCAATTAAGGAACTGTCTACTGTGATTCTGTTAATCTTATTAGTCCCTCCAGGTCACTTCTACTTCATCTGTCCGATACCTGTGGAAAAACAGAAGAAACATGGTGGAGAGCTAGCCCTTAACATCTTCCATTCTTCTCTGCCCTCATGTTCCTGGACTCTCTTCCCTGCTGTTTTGTCTACATCCCAAAAATCTACCCTCACCAAGAGCTGAATCACTCACCTCTGTGTAACCCCAGAATCACTGAGTGGGGTCCTGTGTCCAGCCTGAAACATCTCCCAGCCAGCCTGGGCTATCATGGCTCCGTTGTCAATACAGAATCTGGGATGCAAGAGATATGAAAATTGGGATCTAAGGGTGGAAAATCCCTATAACAGGGAGCAGTAAAAAAGAAACCAAAGGGAAAGTGTGTTTACCTCTCATCTGTAGCAAAAAGCCGGGCTCCACGTTCCTGGCACATTGTCGCCATCATCTCCTGTAGCCTCACATTACCTACAAAGAGGTAGGGAACAGGATTAGCTTAGTTTTAGCTATCTCCTCATGGTCCAGCAGAACACGTCATGTGCACTTACTTAGAACAATGACGTAGGGGACCGGGGCAAGGATTGGGAAGCTTACTCCAAACCCTTAATGATTTAAGAGTATCAGAAGGAAGACGCACAGTGCTAAGAACAGGAAAGAGGAACACTGTTCAGTAATACATACACCCCACTCCTCCCACAATGAGGGCCTCCTGGGAGCCACAATGTGCCATGGCTCGCTCTGTGATCTCTACCAGCATTGCAAACACAGTTTCCTGTCGGGGACACATAAGGAGAAAATATTAGAGGGGCGCCCCAGATTAGTTCTGCTCTACAATATAAAACCTCCTCCAGTCCCAACTTTCTGTCCCAGCTTTTTACTGCATTACCTGCAGGGAGAAACACAGATCCTCAGGAGTACACTCGCCTGTGGCCAGCATCCGATGGGCTACATCCTACAATTAAAGGGAAAAACAAATGAATCAGCAAATCATGGTTTTGGGATTACATAAGAACAAAAGTTAATGCATTCGGAGAGTGACCATGTTTCACCACAATTCAAGTTACCAGCACATCCTGTACCACATTCCCTTCACTGGCATCATGGTATAGAACGAACAGCATTCATTTAAGATGCAATAATTAACTTTTTGAATGCTTGTCCTAACATGTCTCACCCCTTACTTATCCTGCTTAATTTTTCACCTGTACTCATCATCATCTGACACTTCATTTATTTTCCTCTTTCTTTTATCTCCCCCACCCCCCCATTTAGAATCTAAGCTCCATGTAGGCAAGGATTTTTGTTTTGCTCCATGCTGCATCTCTACTACCTAGAACAGTACCTGGCACACAGAGATATTCAATGAATACCTTATAAATGAATTTACTCAGCACATGATATGGACCAGGAATGTGCTATATGAACATACTGAGCTATGTGAAATACAACAGTAAGTAAAACAGATATGCCTCATTTAAAAAGCATGAAGGTGCCCCGTCTCATCACCTCTCTCACACTCACCTCAATGAAAGACAGGATCCCTGAGAATGAGACGTCCATCCCCTTTACGGTGTACGGCAGCTCAACTAGCTTCTTGCCTCTGTGTGGGAATGAGTACACAAGGCACTAAGCCTACAGTCAACCGGCTTCTGACCCTCCAAAGCCCCTCCCAAGTTCTGTTCATATATACCGTATATGGGGAAATCCCTGAAGCCCCAGCAGCCAGCCTGCTTCCACCTTATGTCCCCTTACCGCTTTGCCATCTGTTCAATGTTGTATCCTGGACTTGGGTCGTTAGAAATCTAACAGAAAAAAAAATAAGGAAAGAGGGAATGGAATAGGATGAAATCAGATATGCAAGAAGCATAAGAAGATTATTTACTATTTCCTCCCTCCACCTCCATGGCTTCCCAAAAGTTCACC